AATTCCTACGATTTTATTGATATCACATGATTTAGACCATCATATTCGTATTTATCGCGCAGTTAAAGTTTAAGGTAGATATTTAAAGGATTTAAGAGAATAGATATAACGCAGTTAATCTTTCTCCGTCCATATTTTAAAGCGTAATTTAAGTAAGTCGCATGATTTAAGCTAATCATGTTAAGTATTCTATTAAAACGCAGTTTCAATGAATAATTTTATTATGTCTAAGTTTAAAACTTTTTATTTCTGACGTGCAATTTACTGCAAGTTTACAGAATATCATGTTCACACGCTTTGCTGCATGTTTACATTGTAAAAAAAAGTTCTCAGATTTAAAAAATTTCATATATTTTCTAAATTTTCAAAAATTTAATAGAAATCGAATTTCGATTAAGGCAAATTTTTGGAAATTTGATCATCCATAAACCTTCCCTGGGGTCACGAGAGGTAGGCCCAATCAGTTCAGCCTTTTGACGTTTATTAGATACAAACAAATATACACCCAAACAGACAAGCAAAAAATTGCGCTTAAGAAAACTTAAAAAAATGTATATTTTGAAATATTTTTCACATAGAATGAATAAAACTAATTTAAGGAGAGGTTGTGATCCAATTTTTGATAAACAGATTTTAAACTCTAGTTTTAGAATGTCAAATGACTTTTTAGTTTCGTTCGCATCATTGCATCAATAATTACAGAAAAGATCAATTGCAACCAGGGAAAATTAGAGTATAGAATAAGGGGAAGGGGGGTTTTAATTGTTTTAAAATAGAGATAATGGTTTGGGATATACAACACATTAAGGAATAATTGATATTTGATTTTCATTTATAATATCAGAGATTTGCGACATTAGTTTGCAAGAATAAAAAAACATCGTATTTTTAGTAAATAAAACTAAATTATCTTTATTCAAGATGTCTAACAATCGACACAAACTATTATTTTCTAATCGCAATTTATCCTAAACAACCTGATGATGTAAACCTTAGATTTTCAAGCTTTGACTTTTGATGGGTGGCAAAGGTATAGGGATAAGGTTTAAATCTCCTGTTCAATAATAAGTACCTAGCTCCCACAAAATATCAATCGCTCAATTGAAAAATTGTATGAGACAAAACCTAATTCCTCAAGGATTCGTAAGTTTTCACAAATAAAATACCGATGAGAAACCCGATGAAAGATTTGTGTTTGCTAAAGTTGTACAGCGTAAAAAGTTTCGTGGATTTACTGCACAAAGTTTCAAAGATTTTGCAAACTTGTACACACGGTCAGTTTCCAAATTAGAGATATAAAAGGTCCAAGAAATTCTATACATAACTAATATATAATAACTATTTATAACACTGTTATTTTGGTTTGCAGTGTTATAAAGTTTTTAGACAGAAATTTTCTCTTTATCGAGAAGGTTCAATCTTTTTAGATTTTATTTGGCCCGAGCTTTAGCTACAGACAAAATATAATCTTAAAAGGCGATAATCATCGAGATATAGAGAAGATTTAAGTCCAGAAACTTTATAGCACGTCGTGCCAATACAATAGTGTAATTTAATGAAACGTTTATTTACTTGTCTTATTTCAATGGCTGTTTCTAGATCAAGTAAGCTTTGAAACAAAGCAGAAGTTAAAAATATAATGTTGATTTCAATTTTATTTTCATTTCATTTGATATTGGGTTACAAAGATATAGGGATTAGAAAATCAGAAAATCATTGCAGTTTTGGCTGATATATTTCTCGTTTAGATAGATTTTCAATGGATCAAGTAAACCCTAGGGAAATAAGCTTAAATCTAGAGGTAATTAAGTTCATGGAAAACCCTAGTGAGATAAGCTTAAATCTAGAAGTTATCAAGTTCATGGAAAACCCTACGGAGATAAGCTCAAATCTATAGGTAATCAAGTTCATGGAAAACCCTAGGGAGATAAGCTTAAATCTAGAGGTAATCAAGTTCATGGAAATCACTAGAGAGATAAGCATAAATTTACAGGTTATCAAGTTCATGGAAAAGGAAAGAAATCAAAGAAGTTGAGTCCTTGCCAAAAACAGTAATTTTATAATCCTTATATCCTTGCAATTCAATTTCGCAGACTTTAGATATTTCAAACGGTAAATTTTGTTAGATCAAATCTTTTAAAAATATCAAAGGTTTCACCGTCCGGTTGCAAAGATATAGGGAACCCCGATAGAGGCTACGACTCAATTCCTATACTTATCAATATGTTTTTGCAACCTTTTAAACGTTTCAAACCTAGATTATTTGACCTAAAAGAATTTATAGTTTGGAACATCTGAGGTCTGAGACATTGTCATAGACCCTTCTTCTCTGCAGTGTGCATTTTATTCTCCGGAAATTTTCTTTTAGATTAAAATGTACCATTAAACGAATGATATATACTTTGGAGAAAAAAACTCAGCGGGAGCGGTTGAACCAGCGGTTGAGATCTAGCCTAGACTCTACGCAGTTCAGAATAAGAAATGCGCCTTTTTTTCTCAAATTTAAAATTTGTTCAATCAATAAATTCGTGCTTTTTTCATTCACATTTTTATTCACTTTTTAAAACTTTTTAGTAGTTAAACACACTTTTTTGCTTTCAACCGCTGGGCTAAAGATTTTTCAGCAACTTTTTTCCTTTTAACTTCTTGCACTGGGTTGCTTTTAACCACCATGGAAAATAATTTTTTATGACAGAGAACTCTTTCCACCACTGGTTTTAAAATTTTTCGGCAACTTTTTTGCTTTCAACCGCTAGGTTCAGGATTTTTCAGAAACTTTTTTCTTTAAACCTCTGGGATGCTTTAACACGCTAGAAAACAGTTTTTAATGAAAAACGTTTTCTTTTAAAAACCGGTTCCAAGAATTTTCAGCACCTTNTGCGATTTAGTGAGCAAATTGTAAATTTCTTCTTAATTTCTTATTCTGAACTGCGTAGAGTCTAGGCTAGATCTCAACCGCTGGTTCAACCGCTCCCGCTGAGTTTTTTTCTCCAAAGTATATATCATTCCCATTAAACCCAAAATATATGTAGATTAGTGGAATGAGGGAGGAGTGGCTGCTCCCAGGGTTTTAGAGTGCTCCCAGGGTTTTGAAGTGCTCCCAGGGTTTTGAAGTGCTCCCAGGGTTTTGAAGTGCTCCCAGGGTTTTGAAGTGCTCCCAGGGTTTTGGAGTGCTCCCAGGGTTTTGAAGTGCTCCCAGGGTTTTGAAGTGCTCCCAGGGTTTTGGAGTGCTCCCAGGGTTTTGGAGTGCTCCCAGGGTTTTGGAGTGCTTCCAGGGTTTTGAAGTAAAATGTGAAAATTTATCCGACCTTTTATGAAAAGTCCTTTTTTATCATTTTATTGGTTCTTGCACCCCCGTGTTTGATAAATGAAGTTGATCTCCCCTTTTACTTCAAGTTCTTTTTCAATATCCTTCGCACTCTTTCATCCTTTCAATATAAGATATAATTCATCATCATATCGATGTATTTATATAAAAAGCTATATACAGATGAAAAAGCTGTACGGTAAACATTACAAATAGACATAGATTTGATACAAATATTTACTAATTTTTGAGAAATAAGAACCTCATATTTTATGATTTTTAATGAAATTGATGCCGCAACTTTTGTTAATGAAATATATCAAACGTTTTTTAATAGTTTTCTATGAAATAGATACCACTAAATTTTACTAATTTGATATTATATTGTACTGTAGTTTTTGGTACAAGTACGTACCGCACTTGCACAATTAGTTTTGCACTAGCTTAAGAACCCAACGTTGCACATGCGGCATTTTACATTTATCAGCGCTTGGTCGTAACTTACGATTTAAACCTACTCAATTTAGAATCTCAAGACCAAGATAAGAACATTGCCGTGGTTCTCACGAGTTCTCTCATAAAGCTTTGAGGCAAATCGGTTAGAGGGTTCATGGGTTATGATAGGACATACAAACAAACGGACAAACGAAGATAACAACTTTATATACATATACTAGCTTGGGAACCCAGTGTTGCATAGTTTACTAATAATTACCACCGCCGTTTACCTGCACGCACTAGGACGATTTTACCGGGAAACTAAATTTTCGCTAATAATGTTGACCCACTCAACTTTTTCATTCATTCATATATTTATTCAACTACAAAGCATGAGATATTACAAATAAGCAATCACAATTTACTATGCAGTTTTGACCCGCCTAACCAGGGTTGGTTGTTTTGAGTGGTTGGCCCTAAGTTAATTAACGATACTGAATATAATTGGTTATACATATCAAGATATGTTTTTGGATAGGTAAGGAGTTGATTGGAAGGAAGGATATTGTCAGGTGATCTGTGGCCGGGTGAGATCAGAGGGATTGTTATGTAGAGATAAATTAAAATACAGGGTGTTAATGATGGTAGTTAAATAAAACAGAAATAAGCTAATAAAGTTTCATTTTTTTAAAAATAAAATTTCTTCACACGATATACAGCTAGGGTTTTCGCATTTAACCCTCTCATAATTCTCAAGATAATTATTGATTACTCTTTCAATTTCATTCCACAATTTAGGAAACATTGCAGACGGAAAGCTTTCTAGATTTTTGTTTAAAACCCGTTCTAATTTATATGACTTTGTTCTATTCGGTTCAGCTAAAGACTTAAACATATTTTGGAAGGAAGAGGGAAGGTTATCATTAATGTATCTATGCATAAATGTCAGAACACAAAGTTTGTATGTATCATCAAGATTAAGAACTTTCAGTTTTGAAAATAATGAATTTGAATGTGCCTTGAAAGTACTATTATTAACCGCTCTGATTGCCTTTTTTTTTTTGCAAAGATCTGATTTTTTGCAGTTTAGAACTTTTTGCAGTAACTTAGAATCTTTAAACCAAGCTAAGAGAATTCCCTTAGCTCTACCTATTTCCCCAATCAAAATTTGAGACAAATCGGTCCATGGGTTCATTAGTTATGATCGGACAAACAAACAGACAGACAAACAGTGATTACAAAACATGTACTTTACCTGCAGGTTCTTGAACTAAGTTGTAGTGTCCCAGGGGGTCCATTCCTTAAAATATTAATAAATGTAAATGGAGTGTTCATGAAAACGGAACTAGGTGCTTGCCAGAAACTTGAATTTTATATCTTTATCGCAACTCGATGTTGTTGATATTTCAAACTATGAAACCGTCAGATTTAAATATCAAAGGTTTATACCAAATGCCTTTAGGGAACCCTTCATTATTCATGATTGATTGTGAGTTAATAGTCACACAAAATATCCTTACATTATATTTCATCCATTTTTCAACAAAAGATTGGCTTTTGAAATATGCGTTCAAAATACCTGTAATAAATCATAATTTTTTTTTCTCTTTTTTTCAACATCGTTACCTCTCTCCCTTTGTAGAACGTTTAAACCTTCCTTTTGCAATTATAAATGTTTCAATTTGTGTTTTATACAACCTACATCTTGTTTAAAGATATTAGTTCAAAGAAGAATTGTTTAGTAACTGAATAAAGAAAAAAGATGTTCTTTATTCAAGTTTATGCTGTTTAGGATCTTTCCATTTATTTAAGTTTATGTTGTTTAAGATCTTTCCATTTTTTCAAGTTTATGCTGTTTAGGATCTTCCATTATTCAAGTTTATGCTGTTTAGGATCTTCCATTAATTCAAGTTTATGCAGTTTAGGATCTTCCATTATTCAAGTTTATGCTGTTTAGGATCTTTCCATTTATTTAAGTTTATGCTGTTTAGGATCTTTCCATTTTTTCAAATTTATGCTTTTATGGATCTTTCCATTTATTTAAGTTCATGCAGTTTAGGATCTTTCCATTTATTTAAGTTTATGCTGTTTAGGATCTTTCCATTTTATCAAGTTTATGCTGTTTAGGATCTTCCATTTATTCAAGTTTATGCTGTTTAGGATCTTCCATATATTCAAGTTTATGCTGTTTAGGATCTTTCCATTTATTTAAGTTTATGCTGTTTAGGATCTTTCCATTTATTCAAGTTTATGCTGTTTAGGATCTATCCATTTATTTAAGTTTATGCTGTTCAGGATTTTCCATTTATTCAAGTTTATGCTGTTTAGGATCTTTCCATTTATTTAAGTTTATGCTGTTTAGGATCTTTCCATTTATTCAAGTTTATGCTGTTTTGGATCTTTCATTTATTCAAGCTTATGCTGTTTAGGATCTTTCCATTTTTCAAGTTTATGCTGTTTAGTATCTTTCCATTAATTCAAGTTTATGCTTTTATGGATCTTTCCATTTATTCAAGTTTATGCTGTTTAGGATCTTTCATTTATTCAAGTTTATGCTGTTTAGGATCTTTCATTTATTCAAGTTTATGCTGTTAGGATCTTTCATTTATTCAAGTTTATGTTGTTTAGGATCTTTCCATATTTTCAAGTTTATGCTGTTTAGGATCTTTCCGTTTTTTTGAATAAAGGAATTAAGTCTTTGCCACAAATTCAGTTTTTGTAAAACCTATATCTTTGCAACCTTGTAATGCAAACCTTTGGTATTTCAAACTTACTTTATTTGATCTAATTGCATTCATAGTTTGAAATATTAAAGGTCTACGACATTGGGTTGCAACGATATTGAAATTAGAAAATCAGAGTTTGTGGCAAAGATTTAATTCCTTTATCTAATACTGTTAAACCATTAGTGACGAAAAGGTCAATTTTGACCGGGTGAGATTTTTTTTAAGTGCCTTTTTTTCTTAAACTAAATGTTGTCCTGTCTTTTCCTGCGCTTTCCTTAGGATTCCCTGTTTTCAAAACATATTTTATATTTGACGTAACTTCAAATTGGGGTATTTATTAAATTTTCAATTTAAAAAAACCCAAAAAAGCAAGATTTTGAATTCGGAGAAAAAACTATAAGAACACCCTGTAATTTAGTTTTGAATCTATAAAATTGTCAATTTTTTTGCTAGAAAAAATTTAAATATATTTTTGGAATCTTCTTTTAAAGATCTAAATACCTAAAACATGAAAAGTGAAGTTTTGAAGATCATTAAATAATTATGAATTACCAAATATTTTTAGATATTCATGTTTTACAGGTCAACCTGTACAAAAAAATTCAAAAATTTAATTAAACATCGTCTTTTCATGAGTAAAAAAAGTGTTGAAAAGTAAGGGCGGAAACTCTCCTCAGCGATTTTCAAATAATCCTCCCCCCCCCCCATGATACAAAATAATGAATGCTTTAAATTTAAAATTTACAAACTAAGGAATTGAGTCTTTGCCACAAACTCTGATTTTCTAATTTCTAAATCTTTGCAACCCAATGTCGTAAACCATATAGATATTTCACGCTATCAAATCTAATAATCTAATCTAATCTAAAAATCTAAGTTTGAAATATCAAGGTTTACACCATCAGGTTACACAGATACAAGGATTAGAAAATTTGAGTTTGTGACAAAGACTCAATTCCTTTACAAAAAGCACGTATTATGAGTATTGTAAAACGAGTATTTTATTCTAAATATAAAGCTCGTCTATGATGTATAAAGTTTTACTTTTTTACAATTTAAAGAAGGTAAAATATAAACTGGTTTCAAGTTGGGTCTTTGATCATGAAACGATTAAATTATATTTTAGAATGTAAAATATTACTTACCCTTGTCCTTGTAGTTGGGTGAGAATAAAAGATGGAGGATTTATTTTTAATTGAGCGCAAATATAGGAGAATTCATCACTCATAGTGTAGTGCACTTTATTCATTCCAGGCTTAGTCACTAGTATTTATCACTCATAGTGTAGTGCACTTTATTCATACCAGGCTTTGTCACTAGTATTTATCACTCATGCTGTAGTGCACTTTATTCATACCAGACTTAGTCACTAGTATTTATCGCTCATGCTGTAGTGCACTTTATTCATACCAGACTTAGTCACTAGTATTTTATCGCTCATAGTGTAGTGCACTTTATTCATACCAGACTTAGTCATTAGTATTTATCACTCATGGTTTAGAGCATTGTATAATCATACCAGATTTATTCACTATAAAGTAATCATTCCTAGTTCGTGTGATTGTCTAAATATTTTTGTAAATTATGCATTATTAACTTTTAAAAAGAATGCTCCATGAAAGTCATTAATCATTTTCTTATAACTTTTAATTTGGCCAAAATATTGATTTAATATAATTTATTTTCTTTACTATGGATATATAATTTTTTTGATTAAAAATATCCAATATCTTTGACAAAAGTATATACTATCTCCAATATAAATATATATATATCTTTGAAGTAAATACAGTGATTACCAGAAAACTGTAGAATGGGAAGACGATATTTAATCAATACTGAAGTGCATTTAATGTTGTTACAATGCAAATAGCTTTGCTAATAACTTATTAAATCACTTATTAAGTGATATGGGTCTTTTTACATTGCTCAATTGCTGTGCCTCATGTTCATTGGACTATTTATAGCCTTATCTTAATTCTAAACTATTCCAGAGTTTTTTGGTTCTCACTGTATACAGTATCTTTGATATAAATATCTAATATCTTTGATATAAGTATACCATATCTTTGATATAAATATCTAATATCTTTGATATAAATATACAATATCTTTGATATAAATATCTAATATCTTTGATATAAATATCCAATATCTTTGATATAAACATCTAATATCGTTGATATAAATATCTAATATCTTTGATATAAATATACAATATCTTTGATATAAATATCTAATATCTTTGATATAAATATACAATATCTTTGATATAAATATACAATATCTTTGATATAAATATCTAATATCTTTGATATAAATATACAATATCTTTGATATAAATATACAATTTCTTTGACATAAATATCTAATATCTTTGATATTGATATCTAAACAATTCCTTGAAGTTGTGTACTCCTCTCATGAAAGTAAGTCCTCGAAATCCATCAAATTATTCACTTAGATGAAAGCGTATTCTTCACTTTTTCATGAAAATAAATCACTGTCACGGTAAAATCTGACATTCAAGAAACAAAATTGAATAAACACCCTCCACACAAACCTCCAGCTCTATGAATATACATATATATATATATATAATCACATTTTTTTCTGAAAATAAGTAATATTTTTCTAGGCTTATTTTGGGCTTTCGCTTTGTTGCCAGTGTCAATTTTCTCGGAAAGAGAAATCTTTATGAATTGGGTTCACAATTACCGCATAACGTTGTAAGTTCCAGGCCGGCCGCTTTTTCATAAAAAAACATTTATCTAGGTAACACAGCACGTCAATTGACTCCTTTGGCAGATAAAATCTTGGCTCTGGCTGGACAACTGCGGTTGCAAGGTAATGCTGCTTTGTTAGAGAAAATCTTGGCTCTGGCTAGACAACTGCAGTTACAAGGTCATGCTGCTTTGTTAGAGAAAATCTTGGCTCTGGCTAGACAACTGCAGTTACAAGGTCATGCTGCTTTGTTAGAGAAAATCTTGGCTCTGGCTAGACAACTGCAGTTACAAGGTCATGCTGCTTTGTTAGAGAAAATCTTGGCTCTGGCTGGACAACTGCGGTTGCAAGGTCATGCTGCTTTGTCAGATAAAATCTTGGCCATAACTACACAACTGCTGTTGCAAGTTCATGCTGCTTTGTCAGATAAAATCTTGGCCCTGACTTATCATCTGATGTTGCAAGGTAATGCTGCTTTGTCAGATAAAATCTTAGCCCTGGCTTCACAACTGCTGTTGCAAGGTCATGCTGCTTTGTCAGATAAAATCTTGGCCCTGGCTACACAACTACTGTTGCAAGGTCATTCTGCTTTGTCAGATAAAATCTTGGCTATAACTACACAACTGCTGTTGCAAGTTCATGCTGTTTTGTTAAATATCTTGGCCCTGGCTACACAACTGCTGTTACAATGTCATGCTGCTATGTCAGAGAATATCTTGGCCCTAGCTACACAACTGCTGTTACAAGGTCATGCTGCTATGTCAGAGAAAATCTTGACCCTGGCTACACAACTGCTGTTGCAAAGTCATGCTTATTTATCAGATAAAATCTTGGCCCTGGCTACACAA